AGGTAAGTTATAAACCCTTTACCGGTTCCGTACCATATATATGTGTGTGTGTGTGTGTGTGTGTGTGTGTGTGTGTGTGTGTGTGTGTGCGTGCGTGTGTGTGTGTGCGTATGTGTTTGTGTGTGTATGTACGTATATTCAGTGTTATTATGTTACAATTCGGCACCGCAATCATACTTTTATTTACGCCTGGAGCTTCCTATCGATTAGGTATATGATTGATCATACAAAAGTGGAACAACTGATCAAGAATGTCTCTTTAAATATATATATATATATCCTATATAGAATACTTTGCAAAGGAACTACTTTGACATGCATATATAGGTGCTAAATTGTATTTTAAATTGACAAAAAAAGGCTCGTATTTGATACAGTGTAGTGACAAACCAGACGCTCAATAGTGATTCGAGTTAGTATGACAAAACGACTATCTTGCCCAGTGACTTAATGACTTGTACAGCAAGACATACACATAATAACGTTCACTTACGCGAAACCGATGCCCTTACTGGCGCCCTGTATTACCGATACGCGTGGATTGAACATAATGTGTATGCAACTGTATATAATCAGTTTATTTCAAAGCTTCACTCTATTCGGCAAGTGAACAGGTGTGGTATGATGGCATGACTGTATCCCGCGCTGTGTTGATATAAGAGAGCTAATATTGGCAAATTGGTAAGTCCAAAGTTGGTCTCATAATGGTCGCTAATTAATGAGCTACGTACATGACTGCAGGAGTCGTTGCATTCGTTCCCTTTTGATTTGTCGACTTCCCGTAGCCACATAATGTAATAAATACCTGCTAATATTCCTTACATACACATATATAAATACACGCGACAACCCTACAATAGCCCCTACAATAGCCCCTATTAAAAATAAAAACCCTAAAAGCAACGAAAAATAGTACACGTCATCATCATCATGACTTCATCCAATGATAGAAATGTGTATGTTCAAAATAGATCTCTTGGTGTATGTAAAAGACCTCATAGCCCTAAATCATAGCCCTCTGTCGTTTAGAGGGGCTATGCCTATTTCAAAAATCGTATGTAAATATATGAAATACAGCTCATCTGGAACGTATTATACAATGTATATATATAGATACAGTCTACGACTCTTCGACCATCAACAGTCTATACTATATCAACAGTCAACTTTGAAAATACAAGTTATAAACGAACCGGAGAATACTCAGAGCTGCACATTGTACCGTTAAAAAACCAATCTGACGCTCTGCAATATTGCGCATGCAATTTGTTTCTCTGCACAATCTCGCGTGAAGGAATCAATAAAACATGAATAACTTTGAATTTGACACCACGCACATAATGCTAGATTTGCAGTCAATCGTTGGTGTATGAATGTCTTTATATATATCCGTTGGGTATTTTACTGGTTCAGCTTGTGTATTCACAATTAAACTGTCTGCGCACTATTCCAGAATCTAATGCCCAAATTAATTTGGCTTTTAGAAGTGGCTTTGTTGCAGAGACTCGGGCCAAAGGTTTAGTTGGCACATACTCTGTTTTGCCTGGGGCCACTCCTTTGTCGCCTACTCTGCGTATATCATTTTATGCTTAGTTCTGTAGGTCCGCCTCTACATGCTTTCTCCAATACAACACCACACCTAGCCATCTGTGCGTGACGTTATTAAATTAATGTTGTTTTTCATTGTGGAATGGTTGATACAAAACGTAATTTTGCAAACTTCTTTAGTCAGTTTAGGGCCTATTTCCTCTTATTGTGAAGTACTCATGTTAGTCAGGGTTACGTGGAAGGCAAGCGGGTTACAAACCGACTATCACCTTCCTGGCGAGTCACTCCGCAGACATCGATTTCTTTGAACTACATCAACTTAGTTTCGGCACTCAGCGCCCCAAATTTGCTCTGCGTACTCCCGGATAGTACGATCAGAGTTGAACTTACCAACAGATGCGATGTTGTGGATAGCCATATTCAACCACTTGTTCTGGTCACGGTAAACGGCGTCGACCTCTCTTTGCTTATCAATATATGACTGGTAGTCAGCCAACAGCATGTACTTGTCACCGTGCACCATCAAGGTGTCCCAGATCATACTGAACAGATGTTTGTCCTCGGGAGACCAGAAGCCGTCTCTGATCTGGTCCAGCACCTGCTTCAAATCGGGATTGCTGTTGTAGTAGTCATGAGGGTTGTATCCCTTCTGGGCCAACTCCTCAACTTCGTCAACATTCATACCGAAAATAAAGATGTTCTCCATACCCATTTCCTCCGCCATCTCAACGTTAGCGCCATCCAAGGTACCAATGGTAAGAGCACCGTTGAGCATGAACTTCATGTTTCCGGTTCCAGACGCCTCGGTTCCGGCGGTTGAGATCTGCTCCGACAAATCAATAGCGGGAATGATCTTCTCAGCGAGCGACACACGGTAGTTCTCGAAGTAGATCACCTTCAAGTACTTGCTAACCGCAGGGTCGTTGTTGCACTTGTTAGCAACGTTGTTGATTAGCTTGATGATACGCTTGGCCATGTCGTACCCCGGAGCGGCCTTGCCTCCGAACATAATGGTACGTGGAGTGAATTCCTTGTCGGGATTGGCTTTGATCTCTGTGGGTGAAAAAGAATATCAGTGTGTTCAATCAGAATACATCGTGACGTGTATATTGAGTGAATGACTCGTACATTGAGTGAAAATTCAATTTGTTGAGAGCACAGCACTCAAGAAGGCCAGGCGGTTTACTCTAGCTATATGGCAGGCACTGCAAATACATCAGTGATAGGATCGGATATAACTTCGCACTCATACAAAATCAATCAAAAAACGGTGCGATCAAACTTACCGTTGTACCGCGTAATCATGTGAAGCACATTCAGCAACTGTCTCTTGTACTCGTGGATACGCTTGACGTGGCAATCGAACATGGAATCCACGTCCAACTCGATACCGTACACCTCGTCAACCAGTCTGCACAAGGCCAACTTGTTCTCTCGCTTTGCGTTCTGGACGGCGCGAAGGAACTCCTTGTCAACAATCATGTCCTTAAGTGCGGTAAGCTCGTACAGGTCAGTGGCCCATTTCTCGCCTGGAAGACGCTCATCAATCAGATTGGTAAGTGCTGGATTGGACTTGATCAACCAACGACGGGGGGTGATACCGTTGGTTTTGTTTTGGAATCGCTCGGGGTACATCTCATAGAAGTCTTTGAAAATGGTCTCTTGATCAGTTCGGAGTGCAAGGCTGCAACACCGTTCACTACATGTGAACCTACAATGGCTAGGAAACCCATGTGAATCTTCTTACCGTATTCTTCCTCAAAGATAGACATACGTCTAAGACGATCGTTGTCGCCGGGGAACGCAGCTGCTACATTTTCCATGTGCTTTTGGTTGATAGCGTACACAATTTCCAGGTGGCGAGGGAGCAAACGCTCAAACAGCTCTACAGGCCATCTCTCAATAGCTTCAGGCAAGACTGTATGATTTGTATATGACATCACCTGTTGACACATTGTCCATGCTTCATCCCAATCCATGCCTTCTATGTCCACGAGAATACGCATAAATTCGGGCACGGCCAGAGACGGATGAGTATCGTTCAGTTGGATAGCGGCCTTATCTGCAAAATTAGACCATCCACGCTCCTTCCAACTGGGCTGGGTTTTATGACGACGGATGATGTCGGCTAGAGAAGCAGCCACAAGGAAGTACTGCTGTTTTAATCGAAGCTCCTTACCTTCGAAGAAGTTATCGTTAGGATATAGCACTCGAGAGATATCTTCGGCAACATTATTTTCCAGTACAGCTCCCATGTAATCACCCCTGTTGAATGAATCCAGCTGGAATTCAATCGGTGCCTGGGCGGACCATAATCGGAGCGTATTTACGACTTCATTTTTGTATCCGGGTACTGGTGTATCGTATGGCACTGCAAGGACGCTCTTTGTGTTCACCCACTTTCCATTCTCTACATGCCCGTACATTTGTATGTTTTGGGTGCTCTCCGGGCGCTGTATTTCCCACGGGTTTCCGTAGCGCAGCCAGTTATCAAGCAGCTCTCTTTGCCACCCGTCCTGGAACTCCTGCTTGAAGATTCCGTATTCGTATCGGATTCCGTATTCGTATCGGATTCCGTATTCGTATCGGATTCCGTACCCGTGTGGGGGCAAACCAACTGTGGACATGGAATCGATGAAACAAGCCGCCAATCGGCCAAGACCACCGTTACCTAGACCGGCATCTTCCTCGTATTCCTCGAGATCATCGATAGCCAAATCGAGTTGATTTATGGCCTCCTCGGTGGATCCCTGAATGCCCAAATTCAGCATCGTATTTCCAAGAGTTCGGCCCATATACCACTCGAGTGATAAATAGTATACTCGCTTGGGGTCCGTTTCGTGATAATTTTGCTGCGTTCGCATCCACTTGCCTATGAGCTGATCTCGCACGGCGTGTGAGATAGCTTGCATGTAATGTAATCCCCGCTGGTGGCTACATTACGATCCTTACCCACGGTGAAGTGAAGGTGACGATTGAACGCGGCCTTAACCTCGCCTACATTCTCTAGCTGGGGCATCCCTCTCAAAGAAATTCCTTTTCGAAGAGAAGGACGACGCATCATGGTTTTGTTTTGTGGTACAGCCATGATCACTGATCGGTAATGTACTATTTCGGACTACGGGGTGAAATGATTTCTTAGACTCACAGCAGATCGACTTTTATCCTTTTTTTGCTCCTTAGGTACAAAATGGTATTTATGAAGCGTTTCCACCATTACATCTTTGTGAGATATCATTGTGTGTCATATAAAGAGTGGATATCCAAATCTGGTAATTGATATGATACCACGGCACTACATTACTAAAAGAATAGAAATGTACCAATGAAAAAGGCTACCGCTCTCGTATGCCATTGTCAGGGCAAAAGTGTCAATTGAAAGATGAGTCGTCGCACAGGAAATGATATATGTGCAGTGCCGCATAATAAGTTCCGGAATATGTAATAAAAATACATATATGCTGAAGATTCCGTTTCATTTGAGACCTTGGTCTTTGAGGCCGTAAGCGTCCAGGAATCCGAATCCTGTTTCTATTTGCTGGACAGTGGACAGGTGACTGACACTGGATTTCTGTCGGACTTTAGTTAGTATAGTATAGTGCCGATAGAGTATAGATCGTGTCGCTGACACCTACCCACAGTCACTGTCAGTCGGTCACAGTGTGAAGATGTGCCTGGAGTCCTGGAGTCCTGGAGTCCTGGAGTTCTAAACTCTCTTGTGAGTCTTGAGTCTTGATCCAGACAAACTGAAGAGAGAGAACTTGAGAAGCTGAAGGTTAGTTAGGTTACACACACACACTGATCGCTCGAAAGACTTCGAAAAGTTCGATAACATAGACACTCAGCAATCAGCATAGCCTTCTAAATTGAAACACACTCAGTTAGGATCTCGGGAGTCAGTGACTCCCAACTTTCCCCAGGGTTCAGGCCCCAGCGGCCCAGCCTTTGGCTTTAGGGGCTCAGTGAGCCCCAGGCCCACGGTGTCGGCCCCCAGATTTGAGACAAGGACCCAGCCCAACGGCCCACACACAAGAGAGGAGGGACAAGGAACAAAATCTTTTCTAGAGCTATTTTTACTCAGTCAGCATATTTGTACTTTAAATTTAAAAATAACAAAACTACTATATATGACTATTGACAACGTGTGTCGAAACTGTCGAAAACTAGATTGCTACCCCGAAAGCCGACAAGTCTGGACGACACGTTTTATATTAATTGTAATCAGAAGTCCGATATAGGCCATGGTACAGTCCGATAAAGGCCTTTTCCCCATGGTACTAATCTCGACGGGTCCGAAACTAGTTTTTGAAAAAGACGACATGAATATGTCGTTTACCACGCTAAGCCAACAGGCAATCACTAGGCAACTTTGAACTTGGGGCTTTTTTAAATGTGGCTTCCCACTTCCGAAAGTTCCGAGACAGCCACAGACGGTGGCCTCAGGTCCAGGGCCCAGTGACGTCCTGACTCCTGAGTCCCCAGTCCCAGGTCCCCAGTCCCCACCGCAGGCATAGTGAGTCTGACTGACTGTCTGTCTGAACTCTGGGACCTGAATGAATAGGGCCGAGTTCCTGAGTTATGACTCATTAGTGGCTGAGTCACTATTCAGTATTCTAAATACTATTCTAAGACAGCTCTCAGAGCTCTGGTGACTCAGGTGCTCTGCTAATTTGAGTATAAACATTAAACTATAAACCTCTGAGGCTCTGCCTGCCAACTTGCCAAGAGAGTCACCTCAGTGTGGATTGTGGAATGTCCGAATGTGTAGTTGTGCGCTCGTGTCTCTTATTGGTCTGCACTAATTAAAATATGTACTGATTTGCCTTGGACCAACATATTTTCATGACGTAGTTATCTAATTATGACGCAATTTCTCCCTTGTTTATTTTTATAATTTGCCAAAAGTGAAAGCTGCGAGGTCAATATAAACATACGCGGGTAAAATCATTTCGTGCTACTGTGTTTTATATATGGTCAATTGGTCATTTGCCGCAAACGCTTTACAGCTCGTGGCCCCGCAGCGTTCATTGTCATGAAGGTATGCTTTGTGAAGTATTCATTTTGTCAGGCCATAGTGGAGTAGCTAGTTAAACCTTGAGTGACTTGTGGAGATCGATAGGGTAAGAGGGGTATTTCTAGTGTAGATACTAGTGTGTGTGCTAGCATATCCTCGATTCTATACCACTACACGGGTTTCATTATTTGACAACAGCTTTTCCAGAAATTAAAATGATTCGCAACCGATAAAGAGTCTCGAATTCGTGTGCTAATATCACATGGGTATAGTTACAGCAACAGTATGTATACTTGTTCAATCGTTTGCAAAAATAAATTGCTAAACAGGCGACTTGTTCGTGCGTGGTGTATATCTCGTATATATAAAAACTTGAAAAAGCGATTAAAAGTACAAAATTCCGCCTGTTGGTTTTCTCGTATATTTGAAGAAAATTGATAAAGCATGCACGCAAAGTGTGGATTCAACCCACATAACTCATATGATTGAGTCGTTTAATATACAAAATTGACCAGCTTACGCAGCGGTATGGTCGTAGTATTATTAAGGCAAATTTGTAAGACTATTGACAGAGTAACATAAACACGATTCCGTAAATGAAAATTGCCCTTGAAAATGTAGCGTCACCGAGTCAAAGGAATCGATATAAATCCCTAGTTGAATTTTATATATATATATATATATATATATATATAGACACACACACACACACACACACATATATATATATATATATATAAATATACGTGTATGCGTGTACGTGGATGTGGGTGTGGGTGAATTGATTAGTATCTAGGTATAATATATTTAAGCGAACGACTATATTACACCGTCAATGATGAGCCATTTAGCGACAAACATACCACCATGCCTTCTGACCATTGTCGTGCATTTCGTCTTGATCTACACCAAGTCCTCTTAGAAATACTAAAACTAAAATTAAAACTAACTAGATAGTGGTCGAAATCATTCGATGTGCTTACTAAACGACAAATAAAAACCACTCAACATACATCGATTTCTTTCGTTGAAGGGAATATTCTCTCTTTTTTTGTTTGAGTCGTCTTCCCCCATGTGTACGTCTAGTGAACAAATCCCTTGCAACGGTCGAGATAGTATCTTACAAGTCACTGTGAGGCAGAAAACGTTACATCATGGTACGTATACATTGACCGGTATCTGTGACACTATTGTATTGAACTTATTCAAGCGAGAACATCTACTCGTATTTATGCATGTCGGACAAACCTACATATCTAGACTCAGGAAACCTAGCAGAACGGATTCCAATACTCGTGCAAGAGTGACGTTTACGTATTGTGTAACTGATACGCGCGCAACAGTGCTCGTTCACCCCTGTGCATGCGCCATCCATTATACGCGTCGTTGCTTAGCAACAGACCGTTGCCACCGCCGCGATGACCCCTCATAAGTACCGAACATCGCCTTCGCTTCACACCCCTCCCACTCGCACTCACGTCACCTTTTTCGCTAACATCTTCATCGCCGTGTCTCTGGATATCTAACTGCGCGCATTTAGCATGATCGCATTCCACCTCCTCTGTACCCGTCAGATCTTGTGGTTTCTTAGCCGCATTGTGATTATTGGGGCGTTTATACGGCGACGCATAGTGTGTAGTGGCAGTGGTTGGCGTGTGGATATCGTCTCTGTTCCACGCCTTTTCCGTTTCATCGCTTTCGAAGGTCGGTTCTTCCGGGTACGGGAAGTTGTGATGGAACCATGGCAGAATGCTTTGCAGTGTGGAATGAGTCTGTGATTTGACCACACCCCCATGCCTACCCACACCTCCTCCGACACCCACAGGCACACCCGAGCTCGCATTTGTATGTAGTGCACCATCCGTGTTCTTGGGTGATTCCGTACTTTCCGATAGGCCCGAAATCTCTACGCCGACAGTACCACCAAATTCACTCGCACTGAATTCACTGTCGCTGGCATCACTGTCGGCCTCACCCACGGTTACGATATCCACTATGATTCCATCATCGTCTTCTATACCTGCGATGTTCGGTACTGTTTTAATCCCCTCTTTATCTACCACACTTGCCTTTTCAGCAGGTGCAATATCCCCAGACACACTCGCACCCCTACCCTTCTCCTCGACCTCAGCGACCGCAAGATTCGCGACCCCGGCGTTATGTAAGCCAATGCTCGTACTTGATCCTTCTATCAGACCCTCACCTGCCACAGACACGAACTCCGAGTCCACGCGCTCTCTATTCTGGGCCAGGAGACTTTCTTCTTTCCGATCCAGCACACGGTGTTTTGAACCTCTTTTACCTCGTCCGCGTTTCCCTCTCCTCCTCCCATTTGACCATAAAGGTTTTCTGATCACTTCCTTCTTCTCACACCTCGTTTCGGCCTTGATTTTTATGTCTGGTTGAGGATTGCTTTCTGTGGCCGGGTTTGTGCCCATTACTTCCTGTGATGGTTGAGTAAAATGAATGCTATCTATTAAAAAGGTACGGTAAACACATTGCAAAATCTCATTTCGGCTAGGCTGCGAATGAACACTACAAAGTATTCGTTGTTCGAAATGAGTATCGGGTTGTAGAGTATACAAACCATATACGAAATATGATATACTGATATACTCCTGTAACATCTGATTGTCTAACGAGATTTGCATTGCAGTATACAATAAAGCTGAACATATACCTCACGCATAATGCTCCTACTTGTACACGATTGGTCTCACAGCGGTGAGTTGCATATCACACGTGTTTTCTTAGCCTCACATTGTCCTTTCTATTCGCGTTGTGAAGTCATAGTGGGCTGTTTCGTATAGAATAGCATGGGAAGGCGTCGCGTGTGCCCTTGTGAGTGGGCCTAGAATCGAGTATGTACGGGGTATTATATTGAAGCATTCCTAGTTCAACTGAAGATTATTGTATGTTTGAGCAAGGCTGCGGATTGTGTGCACGAGTATTGAACTCGAAGGAATTACACTTTAGTGAGATCTTGACCAGCTGGAATTCACAGCATAATCATCAAATGATACTGTCCTAGATTTATCCAGTCCTGTATTCCACCATTGAGTAATACCTCACTCTGCAGGATTGCAGAGTGAGGTTTGTTAAATATAAATGCATACAAAAACAAACTAATATCAATTTGAGCTATTCTACATAGATATATACGTACGTCAACTGGTGTCAGTTTGGAGCAGCTGAGGAATATTGACTTTGGAAATCATTTCCAATGAAAAAATAAATCGACCCCAGTCTGAACAACGTCTCTCGTATATACAATTAAGCACACATACACGCACACACCCAAAAGGAATATATATATATATATATATATATATATATATATATATATATATATATATATATATATATATATATATATATATACTATATATATATATATATA